TATCTTGAATGAAAGCTTGTATTTGGAGACATTGTGATTTCAAAAAGGTTCAAAAGCGTAAAATGTCTAATCGGATTTTTTCGGATCATCTTATAATGCAATCTTTGACAATATACATTGACAATATACATATAAATTTCACATACATTTTTTTCACCCGTTTCAATGTGCCAGGCAGTCTTGCACCCAGACATCAGATTTTTGTCGGCCCAAAATTGAGCTGGGAGAACGCGGGGTGGGGCGCTACGCCTTTCAAATTGTCTAAAGTTACAGCACATGTCCCATAGTTTTTGCAAAAGATTGTATGTTTCCTTGAAGTCAGTCGTATCTGATGCATGGAATTCGGAATGTTCGAAAAGTCACCGAATCGAGTCCGAGTCGTCACCCTGACACTTGGATCGAATCGAATTTGAGTCCGAGTGACAAGACTCATTGTGAGAGCATGGATCACACATGAGTTGTTAAAAATGTGGAAAGGAAACAGCCGAAACCACGAGACATGAATTGAAATTCGTAATGTCACGAATACAACGAATATAGTAAAGTTTATTACGTTTTTCTTCAATTTTTCGCATTCAAGTTGCTACCTGCGCCATACTGCCGTGCCAAAGTATCCAAGGTGAATGTTGTTCTTCTTTGTTTTAGTTTTTGTTTTACTTTCGTAATCAAAAAATTGGCGTCACAAAAACTGTTGATACTGATCGAAATTTGTGACGTGTATTTCACCGTCTGATGTTTGAAAAGCTCCCTGAAAACGACATAGATATTCTAGATATTCTATCCGTAGAGTGATGTTGTAATTTTCGGCTAGGTTGAGACGCCATCAGCTTGCTAAAAACATCATGCGTAATCATGAGTATCCCCTCGAGTGTTTTTATTATCCATGAACATATGATTAGGATTCGAGGTAAGAATTAACATCTTGTAGCTACAGATATTTAGTACGAGTACACATAGGCGTACGGGAAGGAAAAAATTAGGGGGGCAGAAAGAAATTTGCCCGACTTTTTCGAATTGTGCCCGACCAGTGGCCGAAATTTTTTTTTACCGGAACAATAAATTTTGGCGACCCCCCCCCCCGTCGCCAAAAAAATTTCGGTCAGTGTACCATTTTAGGTTTGGTTTGCCCAACAAACTGGGTTTATTATTACGAGAGATTTTATTGCTTTGACTACTTTTTCTCCGACTTTTGCCCGACTTTTGTTGACTGATTTGCCCGACTTTTCGACTTTGTAATCTTTTTGGGGCGCAGCTGCCCCCCCCCCCTGCCCCCCCGTCCCGTACGCCTATGCGAGTACAAGATTTTTCCCGCCAAAAGTATGGCCACCGTCTGCTAAGCTTGGCAAGTTGTACTCGTTGTTCTTTTTTAGTACGAACGGCAACGGGCGTTTAAAACTAAAAAAACTTCCATAACTGATATCTTTTTTAGAAAACAAAGCGTCCGCTAAAACAAACGCGTAATTTGAAATACTCCGCTTTCTTTTAAAAACTCATTCAGTTGGTAAGGGCAGGAACAAACTAATAAATTCCTAAAACAAACTCGTTATCCGACTATGAATGTCGACTACAGCTTGCCAAAGTCAGCAGAAAGTTGGCTATACTTTTGGCGGGAAAAATCTCGTAGGCTATTTCTTCAGTCGTACCACTCATCATGCAGTGAAAACTAAACCTGGGACATTATCGTCTTGGCACCCTTATCTGAAAAAATAAAATTTGGCTTAAGTTAAATGTAACATTTTATTCGGATGAAACGCAGACCGAATCTCTTGTTTTACACTTATTCGAAAAATCTGAGATATGTGTAATTTCTTCAAGTGGGAGTTCTCCAACAAGGTCCCCCACGCAGTCTAGTTCTTTGTTTCACGTGGACTATGGGGGTTGTTCAATGTCAAATTACAATCACGGTTTTAAAAGAATGTACAGAAATACTTAAAATTGGCGGAAAAGTGAGGGCTAACTTTTTTGTTGATTTCGTTCGGCCATTTTAAAAGCGTTTTTGGAGACGTTTGTTCTTCCCGTTTGAGTAATCGCTCATAACTACATGTGAAGTGGGAAAATAAGTAACAACTGAATTAAATACGCCTTTTCGGGGTTCGCGACGCATCTTGCCAAGTGGGCCGGCAAGCAAAATGGTAAAAGCATTGCCTCGTCCCAATGGAAAACTTGTCCCTGGGGTCATATGTTGTTGTTACTCTGTTGTGTTTGTCCACGATGGTTTGTCCTTGTCCCACTTCACAAGATGGCGTCGTGAACCCCTAAAAGGCGTATGGTAAGTAAACTGTAAAGTCGAGTAAAACTGTGAAAGTGAGTACAACTCTGTGCGTCAGCAGAACTCTGCATGGAACCGTAAAACCCAACGTCAGTTTCCGGCGGCCAAAAGCGTGGGGGGAATTAATATTGGCACGTCTGCCTCGTACCCAGGCGTCTCTTTGTAAAAAAACAGCGATGCACTGTTTCAATCTCGACGTCTTATATATACGGTCATGCCTGGTCATGCAGACGGCCTACGTTCGCATAGGTTGTTGCTATAACACATTTTGTGCATTTTCGCAGGACCATTTTAATGCCGAAAGGAATGCTATAAACTATTCAAAGGACAGACACAGTGGACAATTATTCCCGGGGTGTTATTCCAATTGTACTGTACATTGCAGTTCACATGATTTCGCAGTGACAATATATTGCGTGTGGTCTGTATAATTTAGTCCAGATTGTACAGCGTAGTTCTTTTAGAAAACAGTGTTGAGAAAAACAGGTCCATCGATTTGTTATAAGTTTTGCCGCGTGCAGAAGACGAATCGAAACTAGACTGCATGAATACATTACTGCGGTCGTTGCACGGCATGTCTGATTTTCATTCACCAAATTTATAGCCTATATAAAATGTCCGGCGATTTACCAATTGTTAACCTGTTTTGCTTGGCGTAGATCTCTGACAAACTTCCACATGAATATTGGTATTACTGAATTTGCTGCTATGACCGCTGTCGCTGATTTGTTAGAGCTCGAGAACTGATAAACAGGATATAGACTTGGGTTGTACACCTACCCACCTTAAAATTCACGTACACGCGCTGCACCCAGTCAAGATGTTTATGACGTTTTGTCCCATACCTTAATTTCATTGAGCATTGAGGTGAGGGCTGTACGTGAAATGGGATATACACAATTTCTTTTACGCCAGCCGGCTTGACAAATCCTTGCCGTTTCTCTATTTTCAACCAGTTTTCACGTTTCTCGAAAATTTCTGTAATATATTCTGGCGTTTTACGAAAAACAAAAAATTATGGGGAATCCAAAAATAAACTATGCTATTATAGAAAGTTCGTAAAAGGTATAGTGATACCGTTCAAAAATGAAGAAAATGCGCTAATTTATGCTAAAATTTACTATTTTGCCAATTAGCCTTTTTCACGCCGCCATTTTTGGGTGGCTTTTCAGCCGAAGTCTGCGAGATAAGTCCACATAACAGCGACTTTTTATAATTTTTTGGACGAATGATGGTAAATTTGCTTTGTATATGGTTAGTGTGTTTTGAAAAATTGCTTTTCACATTGTTTTGTCTGCATTGGTTAACGAGAATTAGTGCAAATTTTGAGCTCCTTTATTAAATCAAAACTGACTTGAAAATTTCCACTATACTCGCTTCAATGTTTTATATATACTATACTTTTATATATAGTTTATTTTGTGAAAAGTAAACTTGAAACTTTGCATTTTTATTAACATGTATAATATAGTAGACAATACTCAATAGTACATAGGCAATATTGTAAAATTCTCAAATTTTCGGCCATAAAGGCAAAATTAGAGGTGCCAACATAAAGTCCATAAACAGTCTTCTTTATTAGTGTATATACTCTAAGAAAATACCACTTGCCAAGCTTGTAACAAAGAGAGAGTTGACCGGTCGTCTAATATATTATACAATAGATAAGGCTCTTCCCGAACTTGACAGTGACAGTTATATACTGCCGCGCTGCATGTGGTTTATAAGCTGTACAACATAACGAGCATGTTTTTCGTGTATTTGATTTTCAATTTTAAAATTTATCAGCCTTTCACAGCTTACGTACCCGCTAAAGTAAAATATCAACATACTCAACACTACAGAAGCAACATATCATGCCAACGCTAGGATTAGGGACGAAGACAGGAAATAACTCTCGAAAATATGACCTATTATCATATTAATCATATTTATCAGCAAACACCAAATGTTCGAATTATCTATATACAAATTTTCCTGCGGGCAAATTTGAGGTTTGACGATGAATAATATCTTCATTTCGCTGCGCGACTCACAGAAGAAACCGACCGGTTTGCGGTTATTTAGCACCAAACTTGACCGAGTCCAGCTAACAGTAATTATTCTGCACTCAAAGGAACCGCCGCCTTGCACAGCAAAGCTATATGTGTTTGTAAAATGCGTCCCGCACGGCGAAATTGTAAACCCCAGCGTGTCGTAGTGTAAAACACAGTTAAGATAAATTGTTTCTATTTAACTGGCGTGTTCCGAATTTATTATTTGCTTTTGTTCCGCACGCCAGAACGCGTTTTTGTGCCGTTTGCTTTTGTATCGATATCACAAAACACAAGTTTATCTCGCGAATTATTTTAACAGATATACATATTTCCGGATTAGGCAGATTTGTGGTTGAAAATCATAAGGAAACGTTTAAGTGGGGAGGTAAAATGCTTCTGAATTTATATCGTGCTATGCTGGGGTCATTCTTGACGTGTCGTACTGTTGACGTTGCAACGCGCTTCGTATATTTGCGGGTGCGCGATTTCCGCATATATATATATTCAAAAACATTAGCAAAAATACTAGTTTTGCCTTTTGTGGACGTCGCTTCTTGAAAAGAAAGAGTTTTATCACGTGCAAACACTGTACACGGTACTTTATCTTTAACAATCAGTGAAGGACATGTGTTCTTATGCACTTGTGCAGTCACTCAAAAGTTCTCTTTGAGAATTATTGAATTGAGCGGAAATGAAGCTCAAATTACACATCCGCCCGACCAACAGTAGAATTTTTTTCCTTCAAGATAACGTCAAAACGCAAAGCAGCTAAGTGAAATTCGTGTTCTTTTGTTAGCAAGAAAACGATTGACGGTCGGTTATTATTCAGCAATACAACACATGATATCGGGTAGTAATTAGACATCACGGGGATTCTGGGTACTTATATTAGACATATTGTTTACATTTTGTCAGCACTTTGGGCAGTAACAAGAAGATGGCACATGGCTATGTGTGTATATTCTTGGCCACAGTTTTGTTCTCGGCGTACCAACCATCGACTGCCGAAATAGGTAAGTGATCATGAATATGTTAGCTTTTAATAGGATATTTGTACCGTTTAATTTCCGAAACTTCTTGTTTGATCACGCAAGCGGAGGCGCTTGTATTTAATAATGTAGTATCAGGGCTTTATAGGCTTTCCTTATGAATTTAAATTGAACAAAAAATAGTGTTTGACTATCCCATTTGCCAAGGGATTAAGTCCACCGATGTTTAAGGAAATTTGTAATTTAGGCACTTAAAACTTTATTCGTACAAAGAGATAAACTCGTAAACTCTATATTGTTCATCAATGAAGGGCAACTCGTACTGAGTGCGGCAGAAGAGGTTCGATGAAAGACGGGGTTTATATATTTTAAGCGTTTATTTAGTAGAATTGTCTGTGATTTTTTGCTGAATGGTTTCAACTGTGTTTATATTTCAAACCACGAGACGAAAGATCAGCGTCTAATATCCCGAGCTGAAATGTTGTTGATAGTTGCGTTATCGTACATTTTGACAGGTGTAATATTTTATTCTGCGGCTTCGTAAGCCGTCGTTTATATAGACGACCACAATATTTCAAACTATAGCCTCCTATTTCCCTGTATGGCTATTGCTCACTTTGATAAGGTCCAATTTAAGCTTGTTATAAAATTAAATGGTCTTTTGTATTACAGGGTCAGAAGAAAAAGTATACACACTATCTCGAATACCTTTTGACAATCGTAGAATGTTAAATGTTTTGTTTGGTTATGTCACTTCTAAGTGCCGCCTCACCTACGCGCTTTTAACATTAAGTGCTTCGAGAAACTCACTTTCCCATGAAAATTACCCCTTCTCCTATTCAAAATAGGAAATTATAGCTTTTTGCGCAACAAAGCGAAGCCTTTTATCGCGTCAAACAAAAAGTTCCATAATTAAAAAGATAAGAACTAAATGCGACGCAGTGGTCCTAACATCGAAAGGGTATCATATTTCCAGCACCTGCTATTAAATATGTTTAAAAGCCCGCATGGCTGTATATAGTCCACTTTATAATACAGATTGGTTTTTTAATTTTTTGTGTACATTTTAATAAGCCTTCTTGGCCTCGTTTTTGTGACCAAAATTGAATAGCATTTCCTAACCTTGAGGCTAAGGTTTATTGATACTCACATAAAAGAATATTTAAACCATACATAAAAGATGAAAGTGGTCTATTGAAAGTGGTCTATTGTGATGTGTAGTCGTTTATAGAATTCATCTGCGCATTTACTGTTAAAATTTGTTCTTAACAATGCTACAGGGGGTTAAACAGGGCTATTGTTGTCTGTATGCGTATAAACGACAGTTCTCGTACCCAGAGTTATCTCTAGGTGGTAGACTGTAGTTCCCTAACTACGCTGCTTTAATAAAAGTACGCGCGCACTGCGTATATTAATTTGATTTCCAAATTTTAACGGGTTACAAGATAACAGTTATTCAATACTATACACTCATTAATATTCCCAGACTTGTGATTGGTTAAGCAGCCAAGTCACATTCTATATTTAGCTCTGACAACGATAATATTACTTTAAAGCTAGCTGCAACGTTTGTGAATAGTTGACTGAAATTAACATATTTTTAATTACTTTGCCACATTTTCCCTGTTGAATTAATATATAATTTTCAGTTAATTGAATAACAAAGCGGAGTTAAGCATGCATGTAACTAACAAACTGTCTCACGGGAAATTTAGCAGTCTTTGTTTGCAGGCATTTTTATTTCTGTTTTCAACTGTTTGTCTCCAGTTTGAAGCAAAATAAGTACATGACAGCCTAGACCTGTGGCTATGACCTTCTGTTTATATTACTTATATTTCAGCCCTTATTCACGTAGTCTGAACCTGAAAATCAAGTCGGCCGCATGCGGAGCGAAAGGGCCTAGGTTGAATGCATAATTAACTTTTGTAATATCCTAGCTTTTTTCGCTTTATGCGCGTCTTTTTTGAACGTACTCTTAGCCGCTGTTTATATGTGTTTTTAGTTTCAGTTTTTAATTCGTAAACAAGATAAATTGAACCGGCTGTGTTTACAATTTGCGATGTTTGAAAAAAGTTTTTCGATTATAGCAAAACTTGAGACTTGATCGAGTCATATTTTATTCGTCTCATAGTTCTACTCCTGAGTCTTTTCCAAAATGACGGGGAGTGATTAAAACAATCGTATGTCTATCGTAGGCTAAAATGGCATTGAATCTCTCCGTAATGTAAACAGATTGAAAACAAGTTGGTCAGCAAAAATCAGCTTCAAGTTTTGCGTTTTGTTACTGACAAATTAAGTTAGCATCCATTTGGTATTGCACCTCAAATTGTAGTTGATTCTCCAATCTCAGTGACGTAAAATAGTTTTTTCAAAACTCAAAAGTAGCCTACCGTTGAAAAAAGCTGAGTGACTATTCTATAAGCTTTAAAATGAATGTAAACATAAACGGTTTGCTTGAGAGTTGAGATATAAATTATTTTTACCTAACTTCCAAAACTAAAAGGCAAAAACAAATTAACATATTTACATAACATTTCGATAAAATATTAAGGGTTAGGACTTAGGAGCCTTTAGACACCTTTTCGGGCTTTTTTATTGAAATGCCCCTACTGCCCTTATAGTCTAACTTTAAAATATATTCATTACAGTAATTAAAGATAATAGTGAGATGTATTCAATAGAATATTATTTTACAAATAGTCATTAGATTTTTGTTATTTTATAATATAATGAATTGAAACATCAATGGTATATTTTGTATAATAAGTTCTCCTATACGGCTATAGTACTAAGTTAATACGCAATTTGTTTGAATTTCGAGTATTATAATCATGTAATTTCATTGTTCCGTGTAAAAGTAGCCATTGGCATGGGCATGGAAAAATACAGATAAATTTTTGCAATGCTTGACATGAATATATTAAATAATCATTTATCTTAAAAAATCTAAGACTAAGATCTTTAATTTAAGAAGTAATGATTCAGTGTGTTCTAGATAAGATTTAAAAGTCATTATAGCTAGTGTAACATTTTTTTGCTTTATTTACATTTGAATCGTGGACTCCGTTGCCATGCAGCCCTTTGCTTTGTCCTTCATTGGCATTGAAGGATATTTTTATGCAGTGGTGAGCTAACCATAGCAACAGAGAACAGGTCATGCTATGCAAATTTTTAACGATTTGCACATTATTCAAACTTTAGAAATTCATTGTCTTTAACTATTTGGGTGCAGTTTTATTAACATGAACAGGTTGCTTAAAAACCTATTTAACCTATTTTAATATCTATTTTTCCATTGTATAGGAGAATTGTTAACCCAAGATCTTGGACATTCATTTGAGCCGCGCAGAACTCAGCCTGGGGTATATTACCTAATATTTTTGTAAAAAAATATTGAATATTGATTATTGATAGCCTTCCTTTTCATCAAATCATAATTTAATGACGTTACATAGTGACCAAGTCCAAGGTTAAATTTAGTTAAATAGCATAGGAACCGCGCGCAGTCTGGGCACGACATGCCCTGAAAGTGTCAGATATAGAGTTGTCAGCAGACTCATAGCTAACTGGGGTAGTACCGTAGTACCCTGCTTAGAGAAGAAGCCAATTTTTTTCTTCATGAGACATGACAACTTCTGACTTCGGTTTTAATTTCCGCCGAACACTTACTATTTTGGTGTGATAAGTTGCAGCCGTGCAGACGTTCGATGTTCAGGTCCTCAATGGACATGTTCAGGTCCTCAATGGACATGTTCACGTGATTCTGACCTGAATCCAAGTCTGTACCTAACCATCCACACGAGTAAGTATATCGCTAATAACCGAGTTTTTTTTGTCCATTTATTTTCAGTGGCGAAAGATTACTCTGGATGATAAAAAATTTGGGTATTTTGTCTGTCATTCTGACGGTTCGCTAGACAGCACACAGGAATTAAACACTAAGGGTATCGAAGAGCTGACTGTTAAAGTTGTTTACAAACATTATGTAAAAAAATCTAGCAAGATCCTTAATAAAACTGCTTTCTCTCTTGGCGTGTTCGAAGTCAAAGGAAACCACGAGGACACATTCCCAGCAAATGGGATTCTAAATAACAATAAAACAAAAGTAACATCTACTGAACTTGTTCCAGTCAATTATACGAAGCTTAAAATTTTTATTAGGCCACAAGATAAAAAGGACTGCATGCTTGTTTACTCTGTTCAAATCACGTACAAGTTTTGTACCAAGACGACGTTCCACAAACTTGCTGAATTTCCGAAAACTTTTGCCCCCAGAAATGGGTCTTTTCCTCTGAAGGTTGAGGGAAAGTGTAGTTATGGACGCAAGGTACCAGTGGCATATTGTGACAGTAAGGGTGAATGGTTGATTAACGATACTCAGTTGCCATGTAGCTGTGCACCAGGCGAGGTGATGAGCAGCAGTGGGTGCATTGGTAAGTAAAATATTTTAATGAAAATGCCTTTTGACTAGAAATGGATTCTGACCAAAGACGAGCTGTCCAAACGCACTAGCTAGAATAGCAATCTTTCCAGGAAACGGTCATGTAACCAACCATAACATAGTTGCTAAAACCATATAGTCGAGGAATCAGGAATCCTACGTATAGTCTATAGAAATCAGGGCCTATATAATCCTACGTACGCGCGTTTTACGCACTACCAGATAGTTCGTTTTGATGGAAGAATCTTTGCAAACTTTCGTATACCAGACGCTTTGCTCATCTGTCTTCACTGTGCAGTTAAACGATTCCTTGACACACACGACCATAAGAGTGAAATATATACCACAATTAACCATGTACGTTTTCGATATATTTTTTAGAATTATCATCCATAATTCAAGAAGTGAAAGCAGTCCGACTGTCAAATACTCGGGCTGTAATATTGTGGAAACAAGAACCTAAGCCAGAAATTCAGTACAATGTTATTTGCAAGAAATGCCAAGATCTCAAGTGTGATCAGAACTGCCCAAAAACCGTACGTTTGGAGAAAAACAAAACAAACATTTCCGGAAAAAACAGCAGCAATATAACTGGACTGGAGAGAGGACATGATTACTTGTTTACTGTCGTTGGTAAAATAAAACCTGTCAATGAAAACTATTGGAATAAAACCTCGAAAGAAGTCAAGTTGAGAGGTACGAAAAATGGGATATAGTGAAGAAAGACGTTTTTGTCATAACTAATTGATGATTTCCCTTATTACGTTTTCGTAGCGCTTTGCATTGTGGTTATAGTGGTATCACTGATATTCAAGATGACTTATTTTTTGTCCTGACCCGTGCAAGAACTTTAAAAAAAGCTAGGGTCAGATGCGCGATAGCTAACAGCAAAGCTAACAGCAAAATATTTGCGAAAACATTCAATACTTTCATTCTAGGCCGCTATCTTTATCGATCAGTGATACCACTATAACCACAATGCAAAGCGCTACGAAAACGTAATAAAGGGAATCATCTATTTTGGGGGCATTTTGCATCATAGCGCTCGTGTAAGGAAGCAAAAAACTTATGTTTTGTCATATGTGTTGAAGAATACCACAAACTGACACAAACACAGTTTTTAATCCAGTCCCCCTCGGCAACCTGACATCCGTGTTGACAAAAACGTCGTTTGTTTAGTTAATGAACACGTTTTGGCCATGCTTCGACCAACAGTCACATCAACAAAATAAAATGATCCTTTCTGGATTGGGAACAGTAAAAAACAAAATTAAAAAAAAAACAAATTCTTAGGAAAAGTCGGAATATTGTTTATATCGTTTACTGTTGCATGTCAGTGAACAACTTATGAATTTATTTTTATCTAGTAAATGAATCGTGACTGTTTAGTGGGATATCAACTAGAGCCTTTTGAAATTATAACGCGATTTGAAAGCAATTTGAAGCATGCATGCTGAGAGCGGAAATTGCTACTCTTTTCACATAATTATGTCGACCTCATGGTCTCAGCCGGCATCTCAGTATGAAGTTCAAGCCTTCGATATTAAAAACCTGCTGTCTTAATCCTGCTGTCATAATATGTACTGTGAATGCGACGCGTTGTACTGATGATTTTGTTTAGAAATTGCTTTCATACTTTTCAGGCATATAGTTGCATCGCTATACCTACAGTATCAGGGCATTTTCCCTTCCCTAGCTTACATGTGGGTGGGTGGATGGAAGGGAAAAGTACGTCTGACCCAAATCCCTGTCTGGCCTCGTATAAACAAGGGCCAAAATCCGGCTTTTCATCTGACAAAGAAATCATCTGACAAAGAAATTTTAATTCTGTATTTTTGATTGGTTAATGCTAAGCAGTTTTTGTGAAATTGACATTTTCCCTGGGACATTTTGATTGGATAGTAAATAAAAAATTTAAGGTTTGTGCCAGCCTCTATTTGTACAATAGAGTTATACTGCCAACACCGCCATCCACCGTCGCATAATATTTACCTCAATTTTCTTTTAGCATTACCTGAAACAGTACAAAATCTCACTTTTACGTCACACGACCACGACCGCATCGCCTTAACATGGTTACCACCAACTAATGTTGACAGCACAAGTATAACATACGAAATTGGTTGTCGTGTTCACTGCCTTGACGAGCGTTGCATGTCAGACCGCTGTAAGAAGTTAAAGTTTATCCCTACACGCCAGAAACTGTTCAACACAAATGTCACTATAACTGGTTTCAGAAATGAAGGATTGCTATATATTTTTGAAGTTCGTTCTAAACATCGTTTGTACGATACTTTTGAAGAGGTTCTTGGTATTGAATGGAATTTCGTGGCCATAAATTATACTGGTAAGATTTTTATTGTATTACTGGCGGTGAAAAGGATAGAGAAATCAGACTGAATGGATGGAACCAACTATATAACTTAAGCTGAATTCCATGTATAAGATTTAAAGTACTGAGAAAATTTCTCTCCCATGTGCTTCTGTCCTGCATTATACATGCCTTCAGGTTTTGAGTGGATTCCAATTCTGTGTCGATATATAGGTAATACGTCTTGTCTTCATTTTCCGCCTGCAAGGCCTCCTCCAAAACGCCGGCTACCTGTAGCTATGCTATGCTGTGGTTTTCCCAAAATTGTTTTCCATGGCAAGTCTCACTCTTTGCTCCGTGATTCCATTATATTGCTCCGTGATTCCATTATACCTTGATTCCATTATATTGCTGCCAAATAGGACCAAAATCCAACGAAACTAATCGTCTTCTTGAGTTTTGTTGTATTTTTCCTGTTTTCACAACAGAAACGACAAGACATAAGATTAGGAGTAGCAATCAAGGGAGCCTAAACTGATTATAAATACTTGATATTTCTAGCAGATTTTAAAAAGGTGATTCCAACGGTTTCCAAATCATTCAACGTGGTGGACGTCGTTATTGGTGTGTCCGTTTTAATCTTGGCTGTGGTAGTCACTATTGTTGCCACAAGATGTTACAACAGGTGAGGATAGTCTTTGGTCTGTAAACATTTGGGAGAGAGTTCCTTAAACTAGTAGCCTACGAAAACAGTCGCTTGATTGTCTCGTTTCTCGACCAAACTGTTTTAGCAAGCTATCAAACTATATCTGAATCACTGAGATTTTGCCTGGGATCTCAGGATCTTTGATCTGGAAGAAGGGTGTAATAGTGAAGAATATGTAAACCGTCCATCATTGGGCCAAGCGGTTAAGCAAAGTTAATTTCAATCATATTTTGCTAATTTAAAGTAACGTACATTCTTTCCAGATGGAAGCGTAGAAAACACACGTTGAGTTTTGATAGTGAAAATCCCGAACCTTTGACCCACTGTGAAGGTAACGTTTCTTCATTTTGATGCATGATTTATTTTTTGCTAACTTCCATTCAAGTACATCGCTAATATTAACTTTCCATTCTTAGTTCCATTGACGGATATTACGACACATTACGTGGACCCTTCAAATTACGACAGTGTAGAAAATGTACTGAGAAAATTCACAACGAAACTGAACGAGAAAAATCTGAAGACTGAAGAAGTTATTGGTGAAGGTAATGCAGGATAAATGGAAGTATTTATTATATATATATATAACTTTGCCTTCCTCAACATTGGTTTAATATCTGAGAAAAACCATTCAAAATTTTCCCAGGTGAATTTGGTGTAGTGTCGAAAGGATATCTTGAAATTGATGGGAAGGAGAGGACGGTTGCAGTTAAAAATCTTCGAGTAAGAGGATGCCTTACTTTTATGACTTTCATGTTTATCTTTGAAAACCTATATCAGATCAACTGACAGTGAAGTATATTTGAGATGTATAAAATGTTAATAAACTTTAATAATTTATTTTAGAGCGGATTGTCTGCTAAGTTACGTCGAGATTTTCTAGCAGAGGCCTCTGTGATGGGTCAATTCAAAGATCCTAACGTGATCTCACTACATGGTGTTATTGTTAAAAGTATGTTTTGTGTATCTTGTGTAATATCATTAACCATTTACTTTCAACAGAACATAACAGGTGCGTATCGCCACCACAAAAAAATCAAGACAACCGTTACAAACACAACATCAACACAAACAACATTTAGTAGATTATACTAAAATAAAATAATGGGTGATATATATACTATTACTGCATTGATATTCAGGTGTGTCGATATTTAATGTTGATTTCTTTTGTCAGGACACACAGTGAAAATTGTCATGGAGTTTATGTCGAATGGTTCAATGGACCAATATTTACTGGTAAGCTTTCGTGTTAGTTATCCTAGGTACTGTATGCCACCTAAACGTACTCCAGGCAATGGAGAAAGTGCCGATCCTCCACCTTTTTCATGGTGATTTTTACACCTTTCTTCTTTATTGTTATAAAAGGAATTTTGCTTGTTCGTTGTAGAAAAACAACGGAAAATTAACGATTTTACAATTACTTGGAATGGCACGAGGAATTGCATCTGGAATGAACTATCTGTCTGGACGAAATTTTATTCATAGGGTAAGAATATTCACATTTGTATAATTTGATATCTTAGACATTGGGGACAAGAGATAATGGTATCCTACAGTATGTTGGCGTTATTTTTGCCTGAATTTCCTTAAATAAAACAATACAAAATGACAGTATTATTTCTTAAACTTTTTGCAGGATCTAGCCGCAAGGAACATACTAGTTGATGAAAACTTATCATGCAAGGTCTCTGACTTTGGTCTTACTCGAGAGATATGCCAAACTTCAAACTACGAAACTAGTGTAAGTATTAAGAATCCATGGACTGACATACGAGTCAAGGAGTATATTGTACGAACAGTTAATATAAAATATATTCATCTTCCTCTTTAGGGCGGGAAAATTCCTATTCGCTGGACAGCACCGGAAGTTATCAAGTACAAAAAGTCATTCATTTCCAGTGATGTGTGGAGTTATGGTGTCGTACTTTGGGAGATTATGTCGTTTGGTCAGAGACCGTATTGGGAATGGGACAATTTTCGGGTATTTATAAAACTGTCACTTGGTAGTGTAGATAATAATACATCCATATTTTCCCGATAGAGTTGAATCACTTGGTTAAAAATGGAACAACATGGTTTACTGTGTAAATGGAATTATAGTCACTATTCTCATATTCATGAGGACTAAAAGCAAATCTCACACATTCATCTTGTTGTTTGTTAGGTTTTACAAGAAATAGAGATCGGTTACAGACTTCCAGCACCCTTAGTAAGTAAAAAATATAGTAGGGTTACATGGGTAGAAACAAATGTCTATCTAATCGGCGAAAATTGCGAATGTATGTGGAAGGAGAACTTGGACGTCAAGAGAATGTCTGTCCTATCTGCCGTGGTTCTGCCAGATGAAAAGATGAGAACCACTTAGTTCAGACACAAACCATGCCAGCTTATTGTGCAACATTAGTATTGTAGTATACATCTATACCGCACATTTACTGATCGTTGTTCTCAATTACTCCACAGAAATGTCCCAAAACTGTACACAGTCTGATGCTCCACTGCTGGGAAAAAGCGCGTTCAGATCGTCCAACATTTTTACATATTCTTGATAAGTTAGACGAATGGATTCGCTCACCAGAAACGATACATCACTCGCCTGCTACTAAAGCGAGGAGGTGAGTACTCGGGTCCTTTAGCTATAAGGTCGTCCTCATCAGTGTTAATTAAATTCCGAATCCCGTGCTTAAATTTTCTTGTTATCCGGCCTCTTTCCTTTGGAGTTCTTAAAAGTATTGCCGCGTAATCGCCACCGAGTTTAGTCCTTAATTTAGTCCTGCTACCAAAATAACTTTTTATATATTGCATATAGTCCATTCCCTTATACATGAAGATTTATTTTCCGATAATAGGTTAATTTTGAATTTTTTTTATTTACCTTGTTGAAACCATTCATGGAATAACTGAATTAAGTCTTATCATTAATGCCAGTGGTTATTGTAAATTTTCCAAATGGTAAATATTTTCCAAGCTCTTCCCACTAAGAGCGTAGTGGAAAGAGCCTGGGTACGAAGTTGAATATTTTCCTGTGTATATTGCATATTAAGCATTGAATTGAATGTCTACCCCCCCCCCCCTTTAATTAAACAACGCAATGCAATACATGCACTTTCTAACTATCAATATGTTTTTCATCTTAGAACCACAACGGAAGTTATTGAAGCCAAATCGCCAATACACGAATGGCTCGATTCCATCAAAATGGGCAAATACTCATCAAACTTTGCCGAAGCTGGATACAATCAGCTAAGCCAGACAGTTCATTTAACTGAAGAGGAGTTGTGTGATATGGGAATCACACTAGTCGGACATAGACATAAAATTCATCAGAGTATTCCTTTGGTAACGTAATGGAGGATTAACAATGAACAATGGCTTTTCAGGAGTCCTAAATTAGATGCACGAGGTTCTCTCAATGTATAAAAGCTGATTTGAACAACGGATAGTTTGATTGAAGTTTGGGAAAATGTAAATCTCTCCCGTAGATACAATTTTCTTTCAAACGGTGGTACTTAAACATAGCGCCTTGGTATGCATAGTTAGGGTTTATTCTTTTAAACAAATCCTAAGGCATTACCGAGAAACCTCCCAGCAATCCTATTGAAGATCAAAGGAGGTTGAAGCATATTCTTTATACAGGTAAAGGTCGACAACATCTTGTTAAATTGGAGATGGTACAAAGGGCTTGTAACAAGTCAATATATAAATTTAAAAATTCAATAATTCACGAGGAAAATACAAAAGAAATGAATGTTTAATCAATGTTTGTAAATCGGATACAGATTTGTCCTGATTTACATAAACTTCAGCTTTGATTTTCTCGACTTAGACAATGTTTATTTTTAAAATTACTTCGCCAATGAACTCATAAGATGGTTCATTTTTTAAATACGATAAAACATTCGCATCCGATCTGTATCTGATATATACAAACTCGAGAGAGTTTGTATATCAGATACAGACCGGCTGCTCATGTTTTATCTAGTACTTCAAAAATTGCAAGAAATTGGGTAATGGTTGTATCATTATCGTAGCCAACAAAATGTAAGGTAAAATACTGCAACTTCAGTTACATAAATTACAATAAATTGTATAGTGTCTGACTGGTAAAATCACCAGGGGTCATGATCAGTTGTTCTAAGCCGATGGATCAGCGCTGTAACCCTGGGTTAAAATTAACCTGCTGTTTTGGCTTGTGTATTTCTGCATTTTTGTTTATTTCAAAACTGTAGAAAGTAAAAAATTCTCGGTTGATCGAGAAAAGATTTTTGGAAAAAATATTTTAAAGTTTATAAAGCCGTTGTTGGAAAGTTTGCTGTGAAGTTTTTCATTAACCCAGGATTAAGTTAACCGACTTTTGAACAACCGGCCCGAAGTAATTTGCTCGGTTTAATGGATCATTCCAGCTCTAGACTAAATTTTGATCTAGGCAAGAAGAACAAAACCCATTCACCACAGCTAGAAAGAGCGTGTTAAAATTAGTAAAACTACAAAGTTTGGCCGCGAAATGTTGTAAAATGCGAAAAATACAGCCCCGCGAAATTTTGCGGTATTAATTTGTATTACGCGCGGGAAAATGCACCACATTTGGGCCGAAAGTGGTGCATTTTCCCGTCCGTACTACAAATTACTACAAAATTTGCAAATTTCGCAGGGCTTTATATTTTCCTCATTTTACAACATTTCGCAACCAAACTTTGCAATTTTACTAATTTTAACATGCCCTTTCTAGCTGTGGCGATGGATTTTGTTCTTCTTGCCTAGATCAAAATGTATAGTTTGTAGCTGGAATCAACTATTTATCGTCGGCATTCCTTCAAAAACGCATGAATTGTATTGAATACGCTTTGTTGAAAGTGGATGCTCAACGATAAAAATTTATAATAATAATGTAGATAGGGGTTGCACTGTATTGAGAAATAGATGTATATATATTTCTGACATGTTTGCATCTAGGAAATTTTAGAACATTGAAATTTTATTTAAAAGTGAGTTATATTATGTGAATATATGGAAATACTGTATTTATATTTAGTAGATGTGGAATAAAAAAAACAAAATTGTACATCAATTGTGATGTGCAACTGAGAATGTTACCTTCCCTATGTTACCACTACAATATATTTTAATGTTAGACTCTGTGAAGGAGAGTGGTTGAGGAGTGTGTGTTTGTGAGTTAGCGTCCACAAGTGTAGCTACAAATTTTAGCAATTTAGGGGAGGATAATCAGGAATGGATCCAGGCAGAGCTGCTTTCTTGTCGGACATAACTAGTTGAGACTACCTTTCCCTCCTGTACAAAATTCGCATACCCCTTAAATGATAAATTCCATGTTGAATCATGTTGCCCTTCTTAAGCCTGAAGTTTGAGCTTGTGTCATGGTAAATTACTGAAAAGTTGTTTCGGCGTTGTTTATTAAACATTGAAATGTGGGAGAGGGGGTGACAACGTTTGTTTTGTCAATGTACACTAACTTTGCAATATTGGCTGAACGGTCTCAAGGGTTACGAGTGGTCGTGGCGCTTTGGTCATGGTTTAGGGTGCAACTGTTACCTCCATTGCAGCTCTTTTGCCAAATCTAGCAGGGAACCCTCCCCCCCCCCCAAGTAAATCCATCCCTCCCAGGAGATTGGTTATATTTACCCTTTTGGTAAAACAACACTGTAGCGTTTGGCTGTTTAAATGACCCGCTCAAAGTTCTAACTGAACTGAAAAACACGTAGTTTCCAATTTTCCAATCAATGCGCGGCCAATCCCAGAATGCCACACGCGGCTGAAATGTAAACAACAACATTACCTATTAAAATGATGCCATAGATTAAATTTTTTGATATAATTATAAAGTATGGCTCACAATTTATGATGCTCCTGATTTTCGAAACAATTTTAAATGCTATTGATTGATGGGGCAGAAGCATACGTTGTTTTTTGCTGCAGGGGAAGGCAGAAAGGACGGTCTGAGATGGGTGTTGTATGATAAGAAAGTGTCGCCAAATTTGCGAGATCACACGACACAAGAGGTAGCGTTGCATCTAGCAGCCTCCAAAGGTCATGTTGAATGTGTTAAGTTGTTGTTAAAAGCTGGTAGGTTTATTTTGATGTTGTGTTTATTTATGAATGTTTTTCTTTCTATGACTAAGGTTTAAAAATGTTAAATATATATATATATATATATATTTATATCTTAAAATTAATTATTGCTACTCAAGTTTCACCACTGAGCTGTATAATAACTGGAGGACCTGCTCCTATACTTCGTTCAGTCACAGAATAGGAAGTTATACCAGAAGCGTAACTCGAGCAAATATTTGTCCGCGTTTTTACAAGCGATTCGTCATCAATCACGCCATCCTGGCTAGTACAACCGGCACTTTGTACCTACCAAATCCTGATAAAACCTTCCGGCTGTACTAGCCAGGATGGCGTGGCCTGACGTGAGCGAGTTAAAAATTTTCGTGGACGTCAAACAATAAGGGAAACGACTAGAGTTACGCTTCTGGTATAACTTCCTATTCTGTGGTTCAGTGATCAAAGTGAAGCCAAAAATATGGCGGATTTCGACGTTTGCTGACGCCATTTCCATGACAACTGGTCCGTAATTCTCACAGAATTGCCACTGACCAACCGCGATCCTGAGCTTCAGACGACGTTTTCACCCCCCTGGCACAGCCCCTGGTTTTGGCAGTGTTTTTTAATAGTTAAAAACATAATATATTTTTCTCGTATTTTGCTGGGGGTTTTTTCAACTTGGAAGGAATTAAAGTGCCGTTTTGCTCCACTTGCTGATGCAACAATTTACTTTACTTTACATAAAAGGACGAGTAATTCGTTTCACAGGTAAGATTCATGGGATGATACTATAGTATGAAATTTTTTTAATTTCAATATTGGACATTCTTCATAAAAAACGTTGTAAAATTTGTGGTCATAAGACTTACTGTTTTGTTTTAGCCCTGGCGATGTGTCTTACACAGATTTTTCCGGTGAAAATAATTTCTTAGTTAATTTAATACACTTAATATAGACCAGGATTAAACACAAGGCCAGAGACGGGAGCAACTTGGCAAAATAGCCAGGGCCACTACACTGGATTCACTTGTTATATGACATCAACATATAGTCGTGTACTGTTAACAAGTCAACTGTTAATGGTCCGCATACAATAAATTGACTTGTCCGATTTTGTCATATAAACAAAACTCCTGATTTTAATAGTCCTGAAACTAACAATATGAAATTGGTCGAAGACCCGTACTCAGGAAATAAAGCACTTAAGTGCCCATCCAGGGTCACAAGGCCTGGACATTTACCATATGTGACAATGGTAAATGAGCTCACGAGTGGAAGGAATACATTCGTTCGTTCGTTTATTATTATTAGGTATATATCTAGAAAAGGGTATGTATATCGCTGGAAACTCAGTGAGCGTTTTATGTTGTTAGTCCTGAAACTGTTAAATTTGATGTTGTGAGCAGTGGCATAGCCAGACTGAAACAGAAGTGGGGAAACAATCAATTGTGTCATCAAGAAATTGGTGGGTGAG